GAGCAGTTTCACTGAAGTCATGAGAAAACCGTGTTTCAAGGCGAGCATTGTGTTGCCATGGCAACGGCATTTGAAGAAATCTCAAAACTGTCCCGTAGATGGTCTTCACGGCTGGACTGTTAGCACACGTGAAGTTTGAGCACTTTTTTAAAATTTCATAGGAGTTATAGCGACATCATGTTTTATGGCGAGGGATGCGTTTCCATGGAAACGGCATATGGTGAGATCTCAGATTTGGCGTAGAGCTGTTGAGGCATGGACCGGTGATATACAAGTGAAATTGGGGGACGATTGGACCGTGTCGATGGGACTTAAAGCCACATCGTGTTTCATGGCGAGTGGTCCGTCGCCATGGCAACGGCATTTGATGACACCCCATACTACGCTTAGATGCGTGGATGGCTGCATCGTTACCAAACCTGTGAAGTTCTGGGCTGGAGTATTGTCACTGAAGTTATGAGAAAACCGTGTTTCAAGGCGAGCATTGTGTTGCCATGGCAACGGCATTCGAAGAAATCTCAAAACTATCCCGTAGATGTCTTCACGGCTGGACTGTTTGCACACTGCTATCTGAAGTCTGCTCTGAGCATGTCAGTTGGAGTGATGACATCATCGTGTTCCATTGCACAGGTGTTTATAGTTGAGCTAACAAGGTGCCTAGACTTCAAAGGCTTCACTGTTCTGAATGAGAGCATGAACCTCTTACATGTGAACGTTTTGTGGAAGAACCGTAACAGATATCTGTGAAATTTCAAAATGTGAAGCATATCAAGGAAGTTGAGTATCTGAAGTGTAATGTTTGTGTACTTTCGGGTTAATAATGTGGCCTTTTTGGCAGTTTAACTAAAGGTGTGCGGCTGTGCTGTGAGGAAATATCTGCCTGAAATTACGATGGGCTTTAATGGAGACATGTTGAACATTTTTGTCACTTCATGCCCTCAAGAGGCACTTTGTTTAATTTTTTTTGCCTAATCATTTGTCATTTTTCAAGCTACGAGATGTTTTCCTACGTTTATCATTAAAAATGATGTGTCAAGAATGTAGGGATTGGGAATTATGGCAGTTTTAAAAAGAAATATGAATGCGAATTTCAAGCTGTCTACTCTAGCTGTGACATCACACACTCTAGTTAATGTTAAAATGTGAAGAAAACCTCTAAAACAAGGTCTGAACAATGTTTAATATCTCTAAAAGGAAGAATCAGATTTAAAAGTTGTTTTACACGAATAATGCCAGAAAGATGTGTAACATTTTAAAGTTGGAATGAGGTGTCTGAGTGAAAGTATGAATGAACAGTTAGCAGTTGAATTGCATGAAGATTTGTTGAAGTCTGAAGATTTTCTCCATTGACTTCAACGTTAAAATGTTGATGTATTATGGGATGTATCTCTGGAATTATGAAAGTTATGAATGAGAAAAGTAATAGCCATCGATTCCCGACCAAGCTGAACGTTTTGATGTTTGAATGGAGTTTCTGCGATGTCCAATGCGGGAGGAGAAGAGGGCCAAAATAAGTCGGCGGAATAATAATAAACTTTTCGTGCGTAGAATAACAGTTAGTTGGAATGCTGTTAACAGCATTCCCACTAAATTAGGTTTTTATTCAAGAACCAAAAGGGTGCCCTTTAGGTGCCCATCGTATAACTAGTGTGAGTTACATGTTCAATTTAGTTATTTTATATTTTTTCAAGATAAAATGGCCAGCGATGATGAAATAGCTGTGAAATGATGGGCACATCATCAACTACATTTCTCTGGCCAAGTCCAAACTGCAGCCCAGAGACATAAGCCTTCATCTCTCTGTTGATTCATTCAATCTTATTTCAGACTAGCAGTTGATACAATCTGATGGAATAGTCTGCTCTAAATACTGAGCTGTGGGGCTGCTCTCCAGCTGTTGCTTATCCCAAGGTAATACAAATGGGAAAAATCAGCCCATAATCCCTCTGCAGTCCCTCCATTGTTCTTAGATTGATGCCATGCTAAAAAAAATGGGACCTTCTTAGTATTCTGAGTAACATCAGCATCTGCTGAATTCTCCTCTTCGTCATGTTGATGAGGATCTCTATCAGAGTTTCTTGACAGCATTGTTTTACGGAAAATATTATTTTGTTATAAAGATTTGTGAGTATCTCAGTGTGGCTTTGTTTTCATAATGAGACAGTGGTTATTTGTTACAGTTTTAAATAATAAGTTTTGAGAATATAATTTTTGCAGTACAACATTTCAGTGAGAGAGAGATAGAGAGAATAGGGAGGGATGAAACCCTCTTTAATGGTCACACATGCAGAGCACACAGCACACACAGTGAAATTTGTTCTCTGCTTTTAACCGCAGCTATTGTACAGTGCCCGGGGAGCAATGGGAGTGAGGGGGGAAGGGGGATGTCTGGTGCCTTGCTCAAGGGCACCACGGCAGGGCAGGAGGTAGAAGTAGAAGTCCACACTCCATATTTAGGTCTGCTCGGGGACTTGAACCGGCGACCCTACGGCTCACAGTCCAAGCCCCTAGTAACTGAGCCACTGCCGGACCAATGACAACCAGTGACATACTTGACTATTGATTTAGTTGTATTAGAAGTAAAAATGTGCTATTTTAATTTGTCCTATGCATTATTCAATAACAAATCAATCATAAGGAAATACAAATGTTATGTCTGAATAATTATAATTGCAATCACAGTCACATTTACTTGAGGGGCCATATTTCCAACAACATGTTATATTTTGTAGCAAATTCTTGCAAATACAACTTGAAAAGGCTGGCTTTTGAAAACATAATCATAATGCATTTCAAAGCATTGTATATTTGTCTGGCCATAGTCTTAATGGTTCTGTGAAACGTGTGTCATCCATCCTTCACTTGATTATTCTTGGTTCACAGCAGGAATCCCATCAGTAATCATGCTGTATTATCACCAAGCTCATGTTTATGGAAGGGCATGTTCATTAAACTGAATATTGGTATATTACAGAATGATATTTCTCCTGTTTTGAAATTGCTCTGCAGCCTACAGTACATATGGGTCTCGTTTCTGTAGAAAATACTATTTGACTTACTTGAACTCTAAATGGCTCATGTGGTATTTTACCTTGATTCTTATGAATTATTTGTATTCTTGTTTAAACTCATGTAATGCTGCATGTCCTCATGATTTCTCTCTATTTTTTTTTCTTTGCAGGTTTCCCTGATTTTCCAGGGAGTGCTCCCAGGTTTCAGTGATGGAGATGTTGCAGTGTGACGGCTGTGACTTCCGTGCAGAGTCATACGAGGACCTGAAGACCCACATTCAGGACGTGCACACCGTTTTCCTGCAGCCTGCAGATGCAGATGGGTCTGGCTCTCTCAAAGGCGAGGATGAAAAGGAGGTGGAATATGAGGACAAGGATGAAAAGGATTATACGTCTCCTAAAGCTGGAATGAGTATGTCAACTACATTGAATCAGATGTTACAGATTAATTTGTTGAGGATTAGGAAACAAATAACTCTGCATACTAGGATGGTTTTATATTTCATCGAGGAGCATATTATTTATGAGTTGTTGCTGGTTTTATTATCTTAAAGAAACTGGCATTTTAAATTAGAGCAGAAATCTCTCACACTTTCTCATCTTTTTTCAGGCCCCAACTCTACTGACAATTCCAACCAAACACCACAGAAGCAGACAGCTGAAAACCACATACCATTTTACCAGTGCAAGTTCTGTGTCCGTTACTTCAGATCAAAGTCATTCTTGAGAAACCACACCAAAAAGGTGCATGATGTTGTGGAGGAAGATTCAGATGCAAGTATCTCGTCGCAGGGAGATAAGCAGCCCGGCTACACCGTCATAATGCAAAACGACCATTCAAAAGTGTACTCCTGTCAGTATTGCACATACAAGTCTCCACGTAAAGCAAGGATAATGAAACACCAACTAATGTATCATAATAAGGTTCCCGCAGAGAGTGCTGGAGATCTTTCAGAATACACTGAGACCGGAGAGGAATCGGACTCAGCCGGTGGACTCATGAAGGGAACATTTGCCTGTGAATGGTGCGAATATCAAACTGACCAGAAGGACAGCTGGACTGATCATGTGGTGAAGGAACACAGTGACAAGGTCAAGATAGTTTCCAGCATTGCAGAGCTGGAAAGGGAGGCCAGTGCAAGCTCACCCAAACCAGATTCTCCCTCCGCTTCCCAAAGCCAGACTAGATTAAAGATAACTTCCATTGATGTTGGTGAAAAGAAAGAGCCATTAGAAACAACATCAGAAAACACCTTGGAGAAAACAGTCCAAGAGATCTCATCCTTTCATTACACACAGATGAATGCAGTAGCACCCAACAGCACAGGTTCCTCTATTTTGTCCAAGAGGTTCTCTTCCTCTGATGTCTCCAAAAGTATCGTAGAGATGGACGCCGACGCTGTCAATGACGAGGACTCTCACAGCAGCTTAGAGGATGATGATGATGAAGAAGAGTTAGGTGATATGGATGATCCCAGCTATACTGGGACCCTGTCAGCAGATGCAAAGCAGCTTTTAACTGATGAGGATAATAAATTACTGGAGACTAAAGGAATACCCTTTAGAAAGTACATGAACCGATTTCAGTGCCCCTTCTGTTCCTTCCTCACCATGCACAGGCGGAGCATCTCCCGCCACATTGAAAACATTCATCTTTCTGGCAAAACCACAGTGTATAAATGTGATGAATGCCCATTCATTTGCACCAGCCCTCTCAAACTAGGCACGCACAAACAGAGCCACATTTCCTCAGATGTAGACACCATGGACCTAACAAGTGATAGTCCAGATTCTCACAATGACACTGCTGCAGAGCCAGTTAATGGGGGTAGTGTTAGTTCCAAAGTCAATGGAAAAAAGTTAACCAGCACACCAAACGACCAGCAGAATCCTCATCGCTGCACGCTCTGCAGCTTCTCCACCACCACTCTGAAAGGTCTGAGGGTTCACCAGCAGCATAAGCATTCCTACTGTGATGACCTAGATCCCTCTGCCTTTGAAAGCCAGCTGACTGACCAGCAGGACTCTGATGTGGACGCTTCTCCAATCTTTCTACAAAAAACTCAGACCTCCATTTTAGGACTTGCCACCAAAAAGCCCTTAGTAACAGGGAAAAGAGCCAGAAAGTCCATTAACGACTTGCCTTTGGATTTGTCCTCAGTTAAGAAGAGAACTAGAATTGATGAAATTGCCAGTAACCTTCAAAGTAAGATAAGCCAAAGCCAACAGGACATGATCATAAACTTAGATGACATGGATGATGAAGACGCAGGAGAAAATCAAGCCGGCGCTGAGGCAGACAGTGGAAACCATGACAATAAAAACCCTGTCTTCACTTATAACACACAACAGCTTAATGCAAGAGATTCAATGACTTCTCAAGAGGGAGGCAGAATAGGAAAAAGAAAAAGCAACCCTAAGTCAAAACCTAGAAACATTCCTATATCAATGACTCTATCGGATGATAGTGAAAACATCTCTGCTGACCCCAGCGACAGTGCTATCCAAGAGAACGCTGATTATCCAGAGGAAGTAGGAATAGCACGATTCTACTGTAAACACTGTGATTACCACAACAAATCAGCTCGTAGCGTCAGCACCCACTACCAGAGGATGCACCCTTACATCAAGTTCAGCTTTAAGTACATCCTGGACTCAGAGGACCAGAGTGCAGTCTTCCGCTGCTTAGAGTGCTACATCGAATACACAAATTACAATGATCTGCATCAACACTACATGGAGCACCACCCTGAAGCAAGCAATGTGCTCAACTTCAACCAACCAAATCTGGTATACATGTGCCGCTTTTGTTCGTACACAAGCCCCAATGTCAGGAGCCTAATGCCCCACTACCAAAGAATGCACCCTACAGTGAAAATAAACAATGCTATGATCTTCTCTAGCTATGTAGTGGAGCAGTCCCCAAAAACGGGTGAATCTCAAACCCTGAGGGAAATATTAAACTCGGGCCCTAAGATTTTGAACTCAGCCACGTCAACCCCAAGGTCGTCCTCCAGTCCAGTGCCGAAAACCGCCCCCAAGACCCCTGAACCTAATGCCGAGGCAGACCTTAAAGAATCTATTAGTGGTAATGTTGTTGTCTATGATTGCGATGTGTGTTCTTTTGCTAGCCCCAACATGCACTCTGTTTTGGTCCACTATCAGAAGAAACACCCAGAGCAAAAGGCTTCTTATTTCCGTATACAGAAAACCATGAAGGTCATCACGGTGGATCAATCGCAGTCTGTTGCAAACTCTTCACATAATATAAGCATGGCAACGCCTCCAAAACAACAGAGCACAGCGCTGTATGGTTCGGATGAAGAGATGTACTACTGTAAACATTGTGTGTATAGTAACAGATCTGTTGTTGGTGTGCTGGTCCACTATCAAAAGAGACACCCTGAAGTAAAAGTGACGGCAAAATATATCAAACATGGCACCCCAACCCCTGGTTTGATGAAATTAATGGATGAACTTCAAATTGCAGCTCCCAAACAGTTTTTAAAGCAGTTTCAAAACAACGGTCATGATGGGTCTAACAACACGAGCCCGAAACCAGGAAGTGGTGAGAAAGGTGAGGACGAGCTGTTCTTTTGTCAGCACTGTGATTATGGCAACCGCACTGTAAAAGGAGTGCTAATCCATTACCAGAAGAAGCATAAGGAGACCAAGGCCAACGCTGACCTTGTGCGTCGTCACACTGCAGTTGTCCGGAGTCAGCGCGAGCGTGCACAGATGGTTCAGTCGAGTTCAGTCTCCTCTGCATTGATCCCAGCCCCTCCGGACCCGGAAAACACTACGTCACTGCGCTCATTGAAGTGCAGACACTGTACCTACACATCCCCCTACATCTATGCCCTGAAGAAACATCTGAAGAAAGAGCACCCCACTGTTAAAGCCACAGCTATGACCATTTTACACTGGGCTTACCAAGATGGCGTCCTGGAGGCTGGCTACCACTGTGAGTGGTGCATCTACTCCCACGCTGAACCCCAGGGTCTGCTGCTCCACTACCAAAGACGCCATCCTGAGCACAATGTGGATTACACTTACATGGCCAGCAAGCTGTGGGCTGGTCCGGAGACCCAACAAGGGGGCAATATGGAAACTAAACATTACAAATGCAGAGACTGTGCCTTTGAGGCCTGTACAATATGGGACATCACTAGTCACTATCAGGCAGTCCACCCTTGGGCCATTAAAGGGGATGAATCTGTGCTTTTGGATATTATCAAAGGAAATGGCTCAGATGAAAATATAAACCAGCAGGTTGTCAAAGAACAAATGTCTTTCGAATGCCAACCTGTTGAAGATGATGGCGCGCTGGTCATTGTCACCACACCTCAAGAAAGCCCACATCCTCCCCACCCACGTCTATCCCTCTCTAACAATACTTACCAGTGCACTGTATGTCTATCAGAGTACAACAGTCTCCATGGCCTCCTCACTCACTATGGGAAGAAGCACCCAGGAATGAAAGTAAAGGCTGCAGATTTTGCACAGGAGGCCGACATCAACCCCAGCTCTGTGTATAAATGTCGTCACTGTCCGTATGTTAACTCCAGAATCCACGGTGTTCTAACTCACTATCAAAAGAGACACCCATTAGTGAAAGTCACTGCGGAAGACTTTGCAGACGATATCGAGCAAATTCCTGACGTAAATGAGGGAGATGACAAGTGCAAAACTCAAAGGCAAGGCTACGGGGCATACAGATGCAAAATGTGCACGTACACTCATGGGACACTGGAGAAACTCAAAATCCACTATGAGAAATATCACAATCAGTCTGCCTCTGAAATCTTTTCTGCTTCTATGACATATTTCACTCCCGGTAAAGAAAGAGAGCCAGTAGCGGAATGCAGTGGTGGTAATATATCAAGTGCAGCACAAGTCCAGGAGGTCGGTCAGTTGGACCTTGCCCTCGCCCAGTTACCCGTCAATAAGACAGAGAAACATGCTATGTTCAAGTGTCAGCTCTGCAAATACTTCTGCTCCACCAGGAAAGGCATCGCTCGGCACTACCGTATCAAGCACAACAACGTCCGCGCACAGCCAGAGGGTAAAAACAATGTCTTTAAATGTGCTCTGTGCCCATACACAAACCCTATACGCAAAGGTCTGGCAGCACACTACCAGAAGCGGCACGATATTGATGCCTATTATACCCATTGTCTGGCTGCTTCCAAGACTTTGACTGAAACGCCTATCAAAGTGATAGCAGCCCCGCCGCCAGAAGCGGAAAACACAGAAATGAGTGAAGACTTGCGTTTGGCTGTGGAGAGACGAAAGTGTTCTCTTTGCCCCTTTCAGGCCTTCAGCAGGAAGAGCATTGTCTCTCACTACATTAAACGCCACCCAGGTGTCTTCCCCAAGAAGCAGCACGCCAGCAAGCTTGGCCGCTACTTTACCGTTATCTATGCCAAAGAACCCGAGAAGGTTGCTGTCAGTGAAATGGCAGAAGACGAAAAGGAAGTGCTGGAAGTTCAACCTGAACCCGAGCAGGACGGAGAGGTGGATTGGTTGCCATTCAAGTGTTTGAAATGCTTCCGGTTGTCCTTTAGTACAGGCGAGCTGCTCTCTATGCACTACAGCGACCACCACAGCAATGACTTGAAGAGGGACTTTGTGGTGTCGCCAGGTCCCGGGGACGAGGACTCTGAGTTGTACAAGTGTTCTCACTGTGAGCTGAAGTTCCTGACTCTCCCAAATCTGGCTAAACATCTATTGAACCACAATGAGGAGTTTCAGAAAAGGGCCATGAGGCAGGAGAGGAGGAGGCAGCTGCTCAGCAAACAGAAAGCAACAGAACCCGAGACCAAACCTGAGAAGGTAAGCATAGATACATGTCTGCCTTAAAGCTTGTAAATAAAGAATAAAATCAGCATAATTTAATCTTCATCAATAATATCTGAGGCATGCATCTCTTATTATGCTGTAAGCTACCACTGTCTATAATACTATAGCTGTTCCTTAACTACTTGTCATGGGCTGCAAAGGTGTTGTACCAACATCATTCATCATTGAGAGTATTGTTAATTTATCATAACATGACAGTAAACCCACAATCATTGCAGTAGTACCTTAAGTAACAAAACAAGGATAATTGTGGATTTCAAATTGCCCTTCAACTGTCAACAAAAATGAAAAACAGTTATAATAAGGTGTTATAAATAGTTTCATAGTAAGTAAGTTAACACATACAATCTCATTTCATGTATATTCCATAACTAAATAAATCAGATGGTTTTGATTATACAATGTTATTGTCCTTAAAATCGATTCAAAAATGTTTTTTTAAAAGATGTCAAACTGAAAGAAACAAATACTGTGAATATAACAACTGATTGTTTGTCATTCTTTCCCTATGAACAGGAAAGCACTGAAAATAAAGCTCCCATAGGGTTCAGGTGTAACTTCTGTGTAGAGATGCACCCCACCCTCCGAGCCATCTGCAACCACCTGAGGAAGCACGTCCAATATGGAGAGGTCAAAGAGGGACATGTCAAGGTAAATGGAGTTGGATTTATTCATATTATTAAATAATATTATTTCTATATTGTATAGGTTTTTCTCGTCCACACTCCTCATCCCACATGCTCTGCAGTGATCTGTTTTACTTGACTTGGTTCCTGTTTCCCATTTTGTTTCTTACTGACGGAGGGTAGACAGTCTGTCAGCTTCCCCCAGAGAAAGCAAACAACACTGTCCCATTGCAGTAAAGGGGGGGGGGGGTTACAGAGTAGTGAGCCATAACTTTTAGTGCAGCGGCGGGTTACTATTCAAACATTAGTATTCCACTGAGGCTGCCAGAGAGAGGAACAGGCCTGAAGATCCAACGTCTCATCCAAACAGAGGCTTGGTTCCTCTTATAACATGTACTGTACTCACTTCTGCAACTGAGGCCTGCTACAAAATATTGAGTACTTTTGTTGTGTATTTTGATCACCTCTACCAGCATACTGTATGTTTGGAAGAAGGTGAAAATGAGATTAGCTTATCACAGTGACATGATTACAGTTTAAACTCCAGGGATGCGATTGTTTCTGATACATTTGGATGAAGAGAGGGCCGTCAGATCAGACTGGAGGGAAAGGTTGGGCCTTTGGATGCCACATCTTATTTATGGCCACATGAAATGCAGGGTCAGGTCCTTCCACAGAGCCAATGAGCTTCCTCGAGGCAATAAAAAAGTCACAGTGATCGCCCGTCTACTTGTGACAACGGAAACCAGCCAGCACTCCAGCAGATGAAGGAAGAGGAAATGGACGGAGTTTTGCTTTGCAGTTAGATTGTTTGTTGGTGTGCGAATGTGCAAGGTTTTCTGCTTTAGGTCCTTATTTGTTTTGTTATATGAAGTTTTGTGTCATTTCATTTCCTTTCTAGGGGGAGTGTCAGATCAGGGTTTCAGTTGTTTTTAGATGTTACAGGTTGCTTATAATTGACCCGGTCATGTTTTTCCATCATTTGTCCTGGACTATAAACACTTTCATTAAGAGGCTCGTACTCCAGATTAAAGTATTTTGGACAGGTTTTTTTAGCGGCTTTAGGAAAACAACAGATGTTGCATAGACAAGCTTTGAAGCCAAAAATATAACCACATGTTGATCTTTAACACAAATGCATCCAATTGACATTACACAGGGTGAGTGAGAGAGCTGTAACTAACACTTAAGTGGAAATGATTGCGCTGATAGAGCACAGGCAGAACCAGAGGTGTTAGACAGATGCTTAACTGTCGCTTATGTGCTGTTAACATGATTTGCCTGATTTAGGAAAAATGGTTAGAGCGGCAGAGTCTAAGTGATACTTCAGTGAACAGCTATTTTTGTCATCTGGAAGCTGATTAAGTATCAACATTGGACAATCTACATAACTCGTTACTCTTAATCTCTCTCATTTCATTGCCCTATTGTGGGTTGGCATAACAAAAAGGCTGTGACAGACAAAATCAACAGAGACCTCTCCTCTTTGTTTTGCAGCAGGAAGTCAGCGAGGTCCCCTTGACCCTGCCTTCAGAGACCCTGACGAATGGTGACATGGAGGAGGAAGAAGCAGCTGAAGCTGACGGCCTCGAGGGGCCCTCGCCCTCCATGATGGTTTCCCCAGAATCTGTTGATGTTGCCGCAGAGACACTGGAAACAGAGAGGGAGGCCGTTGGAGGAAGAGGAGCGGCCCTGGTGGCAGCGGCGAGGGCCGTGGTGTCAGAGGGCGAGCTGAAGCAGCGATTAGCAGCGGGGGGTCACCCATGTGCCCAGTGCGACCGAGTCTTCATGTCCATGCAGGGACTGAGGTCCCATGAGAGGAGCCACTCAGCCATGGCAATGTTCAGCAGAGAAGACAAATACAACTGCCAGTACTGCCAGTTCGTCTCACCCTTCAGACATAAGTGAGTAGAGAGGAGTCAATCCTAACAATGTATCCACATGACTGCCCCCTGTGTATAGGATGAGACTTTATAAGGAATGAATTAAACGCATACATTTAGACTTAATGTTATTTGTTTCAACTTGTTTATCCAGTGATGTATTCTGAATGTACCTTTCATAAGTGTTTTTCATTAAGGTTAGTGCAAGTTTAATTTGTTAAATATCAGTAAAATTGAGTATCCTGTGTCTGCTTCAAAATAAAAGCCATCCCATGGAGCTCCAATTGAATTGAGGAAATGTTTTATATGCAGTAGGCATAACTCAAAGCTGCTGTGATATGGCTTCAGGAACAGTGAGGGTGATATAATGAGATAAAATTACAAACAACAATACTGGATTACATGCATGCTTCATTTCCTGTGAATCCCTCATGCAGATTATTAGAGAACATATATTATATAAGCTGTATAAACAATAAAAGCTGTGCATTTTAAACTCTCATCCTTACATACATAACCAATCGTAGACCAGCTGCAAATGTTAAACTCCATTTGCACAGACCACAATTTTAAACCCTGTGGAAATCCCTTTGAATCCTCAATCTTTTCAGATGTCCTGCCTCCTTGGAGAGTAAGACAAACATTACAGCGAGACAAACATTTTGTTAGTGTGATTTGTCGTATCCATCACAGAGACACAGAGCGAGAGTCCTCCTCTCCTCTGAGCTCCCAGGTGTAATCCCTCTGTACTGTATGTGCCCTGACCCAGAAAGAAGCCGCATTCCCATGCCACCTAGGAGTCTGGCATTAAAAACACAGCCACTGCCCCCACAGGCGCTCGCACGCTCCCTCCCACCAATGGATTGTGGGTAGATGAGTTCACCCCACGGCTCCTTGTTCTGTAGTCTTTGGAAATGTGTTGTTTATGAGGTAAACAGAATAGAGCGCTTTTGATGCTGCGGAAAACAGCCTGCTGTAGAAATCAGTGTATGCTGTCTCTCTATTATTGTCACTTTCTCTCTTTCTCTCCCATCCTTCTCTCCTCCTTCCATCTACTTTTTCCCTGTCTTTCATCCTCTTATCTCATATCCTCCCTTCTGCTTTTGTTTTTTTTGTGCCAGTCTGGACAGACATGTGCAGTCTCACCACGGCCACCACAAACCCTTCAAATGCAAACTCTGCCCCTTTAAATCTGCCTACGTGAGTCGCTTGAAGAGCCACCTGCATAAGGCACACACAGGTAAAAACCTACACTCACACACACACACACACACACACACACACACACACACACACACACACACACACACACACACACACACACACACACACACACACACATACATTCATTAAATCTCATTTTACAGCTGTTGCCAGTGACTAACATTCCCGGGCCAGAATAGCAGCCTCCTGTTTATCATCTGCCACATAAGGATGCTGTGCTTGACTTAGCTTATCCTGCCCAGTATGGCCAGCTGTGGAGGAGCAGCTTCACCATTCACCAAGAACATTAAATACAGTTAATTAAGCTCATCAAATAGAATCCTTTTTGTATTTAGGCACAAATAGCCTAGATTAATTCATCGTTAATTATGTTTATTTGGGAATAAAGTGATGAAGGACTCAGCACGGTACAAAGGAACATGACTACATGTGTCCGTGGTTGAATGTGATTTTTTTCCCGCCTGTGATCGTTTTGTTGCTGTTGAGGGAGCCAGATGGCAGACAAAGACATTCGCATTCAAGCAAATATAAAAAATCTCCTACCTGGGAACCAAGTGCATACGCAAAAGGAACAATCTCAGAACTGGCAGACTAGAAAAGCAGATTTTCAAGGGGCATCTGAGGGCTCTCAAATGTCTGTTTTTAGGCAACAATAGCAGCACTGAGAGTTAACAACTGCTGTGGTTTATTCGCACAAACCAATTCTGTTGTGATTTCATTTGGATTAGTGCTTCCCTATCTTGTCTCTGAAAACAGTCCAAGATACTTTGGATTGATGCACACCAGAAATAGTTCAATTAGGAAGTAGTTTTCCCTAATAAACCACTTCTGGTTGGCTATGTTACTATCAGATCCGATTTGGTTGTTATGGTGCATCTCTTCAGGATGCTGCTTGCATTAGGGTTGTTAAGCAAGTTTATTAAACAGCTGTAGGAAGCAAGATGTTATAAATCACTGTTCGGTGCTTTCAAAACGTTGTCAAAGCTGCTAAACACACAGTTGCCAAAGCTGCTCAGTCACATAAGGTAATGGTATGAAATCAAAGAAAGTGGTCAGTATTCATGGCTCTTAATCGTGAGTTTGAAATTAAAAGAAGGTATTGTATAAAATTCCTTCCTATGTGTACGTCTCACCAACCTGCACACCTGCCTTCATGCTAATTATGGTGAAAGTTCCTCAATAATGTAATTTGCCCCTTCAGACTCACCTACCTCTGGCAGTTTGAATATATCCCTGTTTACATTCAAAGTTTTTTTGTTTACTAGTCAACAAGCAGTATAACAATGTACTACACTTTCCAAATTGCCTACAAGGGAAGTGCACGTTGAGGTATTGGAAAAAGGATTATGTTTATGTGTGATACCTCAAGACAATGAAAATAAACATTGCAGCTTGATATTTCTTCAGTCAAAATCGGGCTAATTAGACTACGAGGAGCACTAAGTGACATGTTTGTTTCAGATTGGCTCCGAGGGGAATAGCTTTCTTTATGGTGCTGGATTGGTTTATTATCGCAATGTTTTTTATAAAGACTTTTCAGATTCTGTTACTTACATTTCTCGGTTTTCCTCCAGGTGAGCAGCACACATACAAGTGCTTGTCGTGCCCCTTCTCCTCTATGACCATCAGCCAGCTGAAGGAGCACTCTCTGATGGACCACGGCGAGGCGCTGACCCTCCCCAAACTGCGTGCTGCTACCCAGGCTGCTCACGGAGCCCCCAGGCCCCCCCGACCGGCCAGTAACACAGAGCAAACTCCCTTGGACCCGGATGGTAAGAGATCCTGCGTAATGTCATTTTAATAGAGATGAGATCATAGGATAGGATTGTCAGGGCCAGATTTAGAAAACCTCAATCTAGCCTCAAAGCAGAATCTAGTTTCTTAACATTGGTGTTGAGAGGATTTGATGGAAACAAATTCTATGTTTTTAGAAATAAGCCTGTACAGTAACACATGTACAGTATATTCATTTTATTTATCTTATGTTTATAAGATCAATTGACTTATCATTGCAGATCCAGCCATATTGAAAATATATGATACACGTCATGTTCTTTAAAATATAGCTTAACATTTTTTATCAACTAAATCTTAATAGCTCTTTCATTCACATTAGGACTAAAACATCTACATTTTCTGGTTCAACCTTTTTATCAAAGGTGCTTTTTATTAGGGTAACAGATCACATTAGCGATAAACACGGAAACATACAGCAGTTGTTTCAATGATTACGTATCGGAAATTGGTTTAATAAATAAGAGAATGAAGGTTTTGACTGCTGAGGTTTGATTACCTCAGTCTTCTTTGATGTTGATCACTGACTCCTTCCTATCACAGAGGCCTCCTCTCATAGGTTGCTGCAGCAGCTAGCTCCTTGATGTGATGCCATGTTTTAGGTGTTTTAGTGGCGGTGCATTGCACAGCTTGCAGAGTGTTCTTGGCAGCAGCTGTCACCTTGCTGCTGGAGCGGTGGAATCTTCCCTGGAGCTGAAGCAGGGCAGCATTCCTCATTGCACCAACCACCACTGTCGGCTGGGCCCTACCAAGACAAGAGAAGCATTGAGAGAGAGCAGAGCTGACGTATTGAATGTCTCTCCAGCACGCCAAAACTAGCTACCTTCAGTCGGATGTCTACAATTCTGATATTTGAAAAGCAATACAGGGTTTGTTTTGAAAAGATTTAGATTTGATTGGCTCTAAAAGTGTGAATATAAGACCCAAGTTCTTGCTGCTTTAAGGTTATCCTTAATATTTAAGGCGTTCTCCTTCCCTATCTTCTCCTCTCAGAAGTATATTCCACCTTTAATTGATGTGATGTAATGGACAGTTTTGGCTCCTAAGCCCTTCAAAAAGACACATTATCTGCTGTCCATCTGCTTTCTCATCTCCATACATCTCCACAATGCAGAGAGGATATTAACAACATGAATCAATTGAGGCATTGTTTGATTTGTGTGAATTTCTCTCTACCATCTGCAAAAGTAAGAAATTCGATCTGAAGCATTCTAAGTAAACGTTTATAAGAAAAGTTATTAGTTTATTCCAAGCTTTCTCATACTCTGAGTTCTGAATGAGGCCTTTTTCACATGGATAGATATTCTATTAGTGTCACTGTGGTTTATTTATTGATGTGTTGGAGGCTCAAAGTAGGCCGAGAAGATGAGCTCTCTCACTGATATTATAGACTCTTGAGAAAAGAAATAAGAAGGGTAAAAGGTACGGGACACGAGATGGCAGTCATAGTTATACTCTTTATGTGAGTGGGGTCAGTCTTTTATTAAATAAAACCTATATTACATAATATTTCGTTTTTAGAAGCAATAATCAGACATCTTTCAAAAATAATAAAAAGGAGATTAATGAGGAGGAGATCGATAAAGTAGATTAAACTCCATCCTGCTGTGCAAAACTGTGGATTTGAATATTGGAGTTTCAGATGTACAGTGACTCTTCTGGGTTGCAATCTAGTGCCTAGCTTATTTTTAAATAAGCAGAGAAGATGACATTTTGTTACAAAAACATATTTACTGACTAGATGTGGATGCAGATCTTAAGTAAAAGTGTACCAATGTAAGTATGTGAAAATACTCAATTACAAGAACATTTCCTTCATTGAAAAGAAAAAGGTGAAAGTACATCAAGATTGTCAGCTAAATGTAATTAAAGTATCTAAAGTACTTGTAATGTGCTCCCTGTCACTGATAGATCATTATATTTACATTATTTGTTAATACTGAAACATTGCTTTTATTTTAGTGTTTTACTGCTATAACTGGTGGAAGTAGAGGTGATAAATTACTACAAATACAGATGGGCCCCCTCAAAAGATACATCTCAGCGGTCATTAGAGGATTTGTGGATTACAAATGAAGAAAAAGAAGGTTCTGCAACAGAAATCTGCATTAACCTTTGGAAATTTTCTCTATTCTTTGAAAGAT